CATATTCATTATGCAGTTTTGAAAAAACTAATAAAAATGACAAAAACAACTCAAACACAAAATTAATTATTTTCCATTTTAATTATTTTATTAAAAGTAAAATTTTGACAAAAAAATAAAATATGAATAAAAACTACAATATTATGTTATTGATAATAAAATATATATATATACATTTGTGGGGGAAAAAACTAATAAAAATGACAACAAAAAAACCCCGGCAAAATTACCAAATTTAAGCTTAATAAACTGAATTATTTTAAGTATTTTATTAAAACTAAAATTAAAATAAAAACTAAATCTAAATATTAATAGTATGTAAATTATACTAAAATATTTACCAAAATGAATGTGGTGTCACAAAGCCTGTAATTCTCTCTCTCTCTTCTGCCTACTTTCACCGTCTGCATCAGACCGACAATGAGAATGTGACCGTCCAGATGTCCCACCCTGGCATCATCATCCAGACAGTGACCTCAGAGGACCTCTCGGACCCTCTCGGCCAATCGGAGCTGGAGGGAGAGCAGGAGCTTGAGAAGGAAGAGCCTTTGGAAAACCAAAACAACTCTGGAGAAGAGGAGCAGAGTGAAGAGAGATCAAACGATGTACAAGAAGAAGAAAAGGTTTCATTTTCTGAATCCGTTCCAAAAACGAAAAGTGTTCTCCTGCTCTCCTGCTCATGAAATTCTCCTTTCTTTGTTTAGACTCTCGACTCTCCTAAAGTTGTGGAAACTGTAGAGAGTTCTGGGATGGGTGAGGAAGCCGTGCTCATGGTTCCGTCTCCGAGCAGCTTTATTCCTACTAATGAGGACATCAGCACGGATTCTGTCCTTCCGCTTGGAACGCTCACAGGTCAGAGTTGGCTATAACGCATTACTGACTGTATTCTAATTACTTTTCCTGGTAGTGCAGTAATGTAATACGTTACATTTTAAATTGATGTAATTTGATTACAGTTACTAATTTTAATAAAATTAAGTAATTTACAAATGCAGTGTTAAAAAATATGAAGTAAAAATGTTTTGCGTGTCAATATGCCCTTTAATAAATCACCGGAGGTTGCAAGCTAAAATGCAATGTACAACAATGTACAACATTTAGATGCAATGTAAGGTTGCCTGTCATGTATCAAAAGGTTGCACTCGATTTCACATATTTTAGTCTGGCATTATAGTTTGGG